GTAAAAATAAAAAATAAAAGTTTTAGAAATAAAAATGTATTTGCAAATGTTAACAGGTAAGTTCAATGGATATTTGTGCTGCTTCTATAAAGAGTTTTACATGTGAACTGCAGAATAAATAGCTGTGTGGCATTCTGAGGGGAAAAAGCAATCCAAACGGTTACAAGTGCACACACATCAGTTTTCCCTGCAGGTCTGCCTGCAGGTCATTACGATCGAAGGGCAAGGTAAGAACTAATGCCCAAGCCTGGAATAATGTCACACATGTACTCAGAGGCAACCTGGAACTTGTGAATGGTGTCACAAGTCTGAGTGGCCCCAGCCTTTTAATAAAGGATGCTGCTCTGTCCGCATAGTAATGTTATCATAGTTCTAAAACCTCTTTCCAATCAAGAAAAGATGTTATGACAGGAAAAGACACTCATTGTTTAGCTTTGTGTTTACAGACAAGATGTTATAACACTGGACTGTGCAGTTTAATATTTGATACCTGGCAACCCTTTCTGCTGCTACCTGACACCTGATTCTTACAATTCCCTTTTTGAGTCATCATGGAGCCCAAATTATCTGAGCTTCTGCAGATGCTATTTTATCTTCAGCATACCTGAAGAAGGCAGTGTTATGGGAACAGATGAAGATATCAAGTAGCCAACACAGCAACGGCAATAAACGTAAACAGCGACCAAAAGCTTCCAAAAAAAAAGTGAAAGTGTTAGTTGCTCAGCCGTGTCTGACTTCGCGACCCCATGGACCGTAGCCCACCAGGCTCTGGTCCATGGAATTCTCCAGACAAGCATACTGGAGTGGGTAGCCATTTCCTTCTCCAGGGGATCTTCCCGACCCAGGGACCGAACCTGGGTCTCCTGAATTGAAGGCAGATTCTTTACTGTCTGAGCCACCAGCTTCAAAACCTAGACCTATATGCCACAGCCCACACTGGAAGCCAACCAGGCAGGACTTTCACTGAAACATCCCCACTTAAACCAAAGCTGCTAAGATAAACCACCATTATACAAGCAAAACTGAGCATGCAGGTGTAGACTGCTTGCTTTACCCAATGAGAGAATGAAAGTCCCTCATTTTCTTACTTGAAGGTTTGTTTACAACATGCTAATGATGATGAGTTAGCAATAACAAACTTTGGGTGACACCTTAGGCACCAAAGTATGAAAATGTAATTGGTTTGTGCGTTTGTTGGCTACTACAAACTAAACTCCGATACCAAGGAATGGGGATGGAGGCTGGCAGGGGAACTGGCCTGTGGGCACTGACTTCCGGCCTCACTCTCTCAACAGTAAACAAACAGGCCCACCTTGAGCGCTGATGTGTAATTAGAATGAAGCAAATGCTCTATGAAAAGTGGCAAGGGAGGGAGAGTGGAGGCTGGCACAGGACAGAAGCTTACTAAATTAATTAAACGTTCATTTATTCAACAAGTATGTGCACCTATTAGGTGCCAGGAACTCTGTGCTAGGTGCTCAGAACCAAACAAAGCTTCTTTCCTTTGGGAGATCATATTTGAGTTGGAGTAGAGATAAACATACATGATAAATAATAAACATACATGATAAATAAATATATATTATATGCCAAGGGTTTCCCTGGTAGCTCAGTGGTAAAGAATCTGTCTGCCGATGCAGAAGACTCGGGTTTGATCCCTGGGTCTGGAAGATGACCTGGAGAAGGAAATGGCTACCCACTCTAGTATTCTTGCCTGGGAAATCCCGTGGACAGAGGAACCATGGGGTCACAAAAGAGTCAGACAAGTCTTAGCGACTGAACAACAATATATGCTAAGGTAGTGAGCACTACAGGTGTGTGAGTGTGGAGGGGGTTGGGAGATGGATAGGGCTGTCTTCAATTTGAAAGCTGTCTGAGTGGGACACCTGAGGAGGTGACATTTAAACAAAGACCTCTGTGTCCCTTCCCCCATCACTGCTGCTTCAGCAAGATTAATGCAGGGATGACATCACATCCAGCCCTCCTTAACTTCCTCAGACCAACAGGTCTAACTTCCCGCAAGGTTGTGGTTACTTCTGTGTGTGTGTGGTTACTTTTAATTAAGGGGTTTTTTTTTTAAACTTTACTTCTTCCTTGTACCAATAAAGCATGCACTCATCAGAAAACCCATGCAAAATCACAAGCAAGCTGCCGAGGGAAATTATGGGTGTTGTATAGGCTGAAGTGTGGGGAGGGATCTCTGGCTTAATTCTAATTAGCAACAGTGACACTACCTGACATTTTGGGGCTTACTATCATGCCATTTGCTTGTGAAGTCATAAAACACATATCCTCCTGGGATTTAGTATGGCTCTCTGGTAACCATTTGTCTAAGTACACACTGAAAAAAACTCAGCAAATGTTTAAATAAATATTTAAAGATATTTGATACTGCATACAGAGGGTCACACTACTTCATAATCCTCCCTTTTCTCTAAAGAATTTATTCCTTTATTTCAAAGTTAGAGAAATTTGAGTAGTAAAAAAATATCAAAACCCATACGAGTCATAAAATCTCATTTGCAGGAGGCTTTTTTGTAAATGCACCTGGTTAGGCTGCATTTCTATTAGTAAAACATTCTAACTTGCCAGCTAACATCAAGGAGATCTCTTTTCCAGGTTCATCCACACTGCTGGGAGACTCTTACCATATTAAACTTAAATTGTTTTCAGGTTTGGTTTTGAGGGGGTTGGGGGAGGAAGAACCGGAAGAGAAGGTGGTAAAAAGATGCTGGGCTTTCAATCAGATCTGTGAAATCTCACTGTGCATTTCTATCATAGTCAAAGCATGAGCTAGTGGCATTCACTTTATAGATTATATATAAACTTGCTGTCTGGGGCTGTAAATTATTATCCCACCATTCCAACCTAAACCTGACCCTAAAACATTAACGAGGAAATGGTGATTAAAGTCCGTCAATAAACATCTGTGAGCTTTCAGTATGTTTTAAGACACCTGGGAATGGAAAGCAATAAGGTGCAGGTCTCTGACTGTCAGGGTATCACAGCCTTTCAAAATACAAAAATGATTTACAATGTTTTATGGAGAAGGAAACGGCAACCCATTTCAGTATTCTTGCCTGGGGAATCCTATGGAGAGAGGAGCCTGGTGGGCTACAGTCCATGGGGTCACAAAGAGTTGAACAAAACTTAGCGACTAAACAACAGTGTCGATAAACACACATAACCCAAACCATGAAATCCACACCTTTTCCCTCCTGCCTCAGTTCTTTGGGTAATGCAAAATTGGTATCTGTGAGATTGTAATTCACTTGAGCACAGCCCCTCCGCTGAGTCACCACTAAAAGTGACAGCGAGGAAGAACTGGGAGAAAAAGCAGAGAAGAGTGACTTCAGGATTAGATGCCTGAGTCATATCTCATCTCAGATTGGAAAGATATACCAGCCTGTGTCTTGGAGGCACGGGGTGGGGTCACAATTTCACTCAAATTTGCAATGATCTCCATTCCTCAATAACGTACAGTTTTACTGTCTTTAATTGACAGTCATCAGAGTAGCCACAACTCCCAAGTTGAAGAGTAACAACATTATATCAACACAGTCAACAGCCCACACATTCCTACCCCCACCATCTTCAGGATCACCTAAACAGTCTCAACAGAAAGGTAAAACCTTAACATTCAAATTTCTGGGATTTCTAAAAACTGCCCTCTTCTAAAGAAACATGAATAAGGACCATTGGTCAGAGTTACTGAGCTTACTGAGAATGCTATGACAACTGTATCTACTGTGTTTAGTGTGAATGCAGTATAGTCCACATGTGACAGGATTTGTGTATTCAGACAAAGGGAACCAGTCTTTTGAACAAAGGATTATGAACCTATTTTCATGCTTTTATTCATACCCAACAAAAGTCAATAAACTTCTCTGATTTCAGGAATTCACTCAGACCTTGCAAATCTAGAAACTAAATTTTAGAGTTAAAAAAAAAGTAATCTATAGAAATGACCCAACTGTGGGTCTTAAAAATGACTACAAATGCATTTGGAGAACTTGGGTTCCATGGGCATAAGCCGAATTAAAACAAAAGTTGTTTTGTGTTCTATTAATAGCAGATGATTAAACACATATCTTATTTCAAACTGGAATTCATTTATACGTACTTAAACTTACTAAACTGGCCACTAATCCTAAATCTATGTTTCTGCAAACATTCTCTCGTAATAAGTGCAAGTTAAGAGAATGACCATCAACGTACTGCTTAAGGTTGGGTCAACTTTATTCAAACCTCGGACGTTCTTAGACTCCCATTAACCTCCACCAAATAATCGATATCTGAAAGCCAAATTGAACGTAAAGCTACGTGAGGTAGGGTCTCGGAGGGAGCGAGTCTCAAACCTTCCCAGTGAAGTCCTGGGGCCGGGGGCGCCCCCCGCAGGCCCCAGCGCCGAGTCCGGCTCACCTGGCGCTGGCTAATTACCTGGGAGTTTCCCCCCTTCATTCTCGGAGGAAACCCGAGCTCGGCTCTCCGAGAACTCAGGCGCCGCAGCCGCGCCGGCGAGGCCACAGACCCCGAAGGGAAGGTGGGGGAGGACGCGCCCCAGGGGCGACACAGGACCCTCCCGCCCCGAAGACGTTTGGTTGTGAAACGTGTAATTTGCCGGGCGTCTCCTGCGCCGGGAGGGAGAGGAGGGGACCGGGTAAAGAACGGAGGGGGAGGGGAGAACAGTCCCGCGTAAAGTCCCCTCCTCACCTCGAAGGTAAAGAATCCCGACCGTCCCCCCGGGCGAGGGCTGCCGGCCGCCGGCGGGGCGTCCCCACTTCCCCGGCCTCGAACCCCGAACCCCGGCTCCCTCAGGGCTCCGGACCTCTCCCCGCACCCCCAGCCTCGAACCCTGGCGCCCCAGTCTTCCGCCCTCAAGCCCGGATGCCCCCACGGTCCCAGCCTCTTCGCCGCCCGAACCCCGGGCCCCCCACTCCCCAGTCCCCGCATCTCCCGCCCTCGAACCCCGGCGCCTCCAGGGTCCCGGGCCCGCTTACCCGGTAGGTGCTCTCGGTGAGCCGGTTCACCTCCTCCGGCCCCCGCGACATGGCTGCAGCCGCCGGGCGGGCGAACGCGGGAGGACGCGGCCGGGCCTCGTGGCCGCCCGACTCTGGGCGGCTGTGGAGCGCCGGGGCGCGGCTGAGGGGCCCTCAAGCGTCGGCTGCCTCCACAGCCGTCGGCCGGGAAGTGGAAGTCGCGCGACCCGGCGGCCAAAACGTCAAAACTTGAAGCGCTACCGCCGCGGCCTCCGGCGAGGACCTGAGAACACTCGGCGACGGGGCGACCCCACCTGAGGCGGCCCGGCGGCGGGGAGGAGGCGGGCCGAGCCGTGGTGGGCGGGGCGGTGAGGCCCGTGTGGGCGGGGCGGAGGCCCGCCAGGCCAAGTGGGCGGGGCGTCTCCACCTGAGGCGCTGGAACGAAGGGACCGCGACCGCTTGAGAGGTCCATGGCGGGCTCGCGACGCTGTTCTGCTTTCAGCCCGCACCGTAGGCGGTCACACCTCTGTGGTCCTAGAGCGACAGGGGCCCTGACGCCCACGTTCTCCTCTGGTGCTGTGTCGCCCAGCTGTACTCATTTCCCTGCTTGGCCCCTTCCAGCGCTCCCGTATGGCCGACTTCAGAGATCTGAGCGGCCTCAGGATAAAGGCTCTCATAGGTGGGGGAAAGGGTCACGCCTTTGCAACCCTTTTTGGAAGTTCCTGATAACGTGAAAAGAAAAATCAATAAATGCCACGGTCTGGTTACAGAAATGGCAGTACGTCTTCAAACTTTAAGAAGGATTTTTAATTCAATGCAACATAACCGTGCTAGTCACAAGATCGTTACAAGGTTTAGAAGCCCATAGTGAATGCAGGTTAGTGGAGGTAATGCTCTTCCTTTGGGTGGCTGCTGAATCTCCCTGTTCTATCTCCACCCCAACCCCAGCCTGAGGACCCAGAACAGGCTTCTCCCAGCCTGAAACACTGCTTGGTATCTGAGATACTCACCCAGCCAGGGCAGGAGATCTTATTCTGTATCTAAAAAACTTTTCAGTCAGTTCAGTCGCTCAGTCGTGTCCGACTCTGTGATCCCATGAACTGCAGCACGCCAGGCCTCCCTGGCCATCACCAACTCCCGGAGTCCACCCAAACCCGTGTCCATCGAGTTGATGATGCCATCCAGCCATCTCATCCTCTGTCATCCCCTTCTCCTCCTGCCCTCAGTCTTTCCCAGCATCAGGGTCTTTTCCAATGAGATAGAAAAAACTTCTATCTGGGTGCAATTTCATCTTTTATGGGCTATTATGAGGCTTCTAAACTGCTTCCATTATAAAATTCACTGGGAAATGTACACAAAGAAAGCACTGTGTTGGCCTAGATGGGAATATGAAAGCATGAGATGCAGCTAGACTTAGGACAGAATCGACTACTTGGATTCCGGGACAAGGTTATCTCGTTTTGCAAGCTATAAAGCGTACTGTGGTTGAGAACCAAAAGGTCATGGATCCTTGTGTGTTGGAGCGCTTAGGTTTCGGGCAGTGGAAGCAGCTACCTGTCCTTAACAGATTTCTAGCATCTGACTCATAAGATTTGCCTGGTGGGTCTTATTTGCCATATTGAGTGAACTGATGACCTTACCATGATCAGCTTTGCATACTAGGCTCTTCAAGGATGTCTGTCAGCTTTCATTTAAACTTGAAAATCGCTTCCTTAACTTTGCAGGTCTGTCACCTTTTGTGTTAGAACCTCCCTCCAAGCCTTCTGAGGAATGGGACCATTTCACCCTCTGCTACAAGGCAGTCAACCAAGGAGCCAGAAAGAGAGCAGAGGCTTAACCTTTAACGCCCCATAGCTCAGCCGGGAAGAGATAGCAATTAACAAACCGCCTTAAAACCAGCACATCTCAGTTGGCCCAGTTTTTTTCCCCCATTTATTTTTATTAGTTGGAGGCTAATTACTTTACAATATTGTAGTGGTTTTTGTCATACATTGACCTGTATCAGCCATGGATTTACATGTGTTCCCCATTCCGTTCCCCCCTCCCACCTCCCTCTCCACCCGATCCTGGAATCGCATCAAAGGGCCGGGTTCACAATTGTAGGCAGACCTTCTAACAGATATCTATATTAATGAAATCTCCTTTATGGAAATAATTTCCTGGTTGCTCCTTTAGAAGTCTTAGAGAATCGTCAGCTCTTGGTCTGTATCAACATTAGGACTAGTGCCGCAGCGTCCCCAAGAACAAGTGAGTATTGATTATCTGCTTTGTGCCAGGCTCCCTGCTGAGGGCCATAGTGGAGTACAAAGTGTACTGGCCTTGACTCAAGCCCTTAGAACAAGTGCAGGAAGTAGAATCTAAGGAGGACTGCAACAACTGTACTACAGTACAGTCAAATGTGCTCTAAGTCTAAAAAGACGAGAACGCCCTCAAAAATCCACCTGGGTTAGGCTCCTCAGGTGTGTGTGTTGGCTTCATGCAAACTCGAAAACCCAGTCTTAGTTGTTCTGAGGTTTAATGATGCTCACTGTGAAGTGAAGTGAATCAATGGAAAGGGCTAACACAGGAGAAGGTGAGAAGCCGGTTGTAACTGCTGAGAAAGCACTGTCGCTGCTCTCCAGCTGCCCAGAACCCAGGCCTGAAGAGCTGGCCTGGCCTCACTGGAAATCAGCTCCACACCTCCCCAGGGGCAGACAACCAAGGTTTCCTCTCTTAGATCCTATTTGAGTTTAAATAACCAAAAATCCTGTTTACGTTAATGAAAGTCGCAAGATGCAATTGCTAGTGACAGTATCAACAAGATTCTGAAAGCTCCACTCCAAACAGACTTCTGTGTTGGGGTGTCTGCCTTCTTGTGAACTTACTGTGGCTGGACTTACAGCCTGCCCATGGGCTGTCTGCCTTGATGGGCGCTCTGGGATGCCCACGAGGACTCTACTGTGTTTTGGGACCAAAGAGGTCCCTGCCAGTAACAGCAGTTTGGGGCAAATTCCCATTGAAAGACCGAGAGAATTTGCTGTATGATGCAGGAAGCTCAACCCAACATTCTGTGACAAACTGGAGGGATGGGGTGGGGTGGGGGTAGTTCCCCAACCAGAGATTGAACCCTGTCGTTTGCAGTGAAAGGACAGAGTCCTACCCATTGGATTGCTGGGGAATTCCCCTGCTGTAGAGATTTTTCACTTGCTGTTTCCTCTGTCTAGAATGTTCTCCCCACTCCAGTATTTTCTGGAAATGTGAAGTTCAGCCTAGAGGGCCTACTTCCTTGACCTGAAGTAGTATTTCAAGCCATCTCTAACATAGCATTCTATTTTAATTCTAATCGTGCTTACCACTAGCTAGCTGCGCTCTGCGCTATGCTAAGTCACTTCAGTCATGTCCAAGTCTGTGCAAGCCTATGGGCTATAGGCTGCCAGACTCCTGTGTCCATGGGATTCTGCAGGCAAGAATACTGCAATAGGTTGCCATGCCCTCTTCCAGGGGACCTTCCCTACCCAGGGGTCGAACCTGTGTCTCCTTCGTCTCCTGCGCTGCAGGTGAATTCTTTACCACTGAGCCAGAGGGGCTTCTCAGGCGGTGCTAGTGGTGAAGAACCCACCTGCCAATGCAGGAAAAGCGGGTTCCATCCCTGGGTCAGGAAGATCCCCGGGAGAAGGAAATGGCAACCCACGCCAGTATTCTTGCCTAGAGAATCTCAGGGACAGGGGCACCTGGCAGGCTCCATTCCGTGGACTCACAAAGAGTCAGACACGACTGAAGCGACTTAGCACAAGCCCCTGGGGAAGCCCCGTTGCTCGCTACAGCAGGCTAAAATAAAGATTCCCCAGGATGTTCAGGCCCTAAGCCTCACAGGAGCGTGTCAGTGCCACATTATATGGCGAATGGGACTCCGAAAATGTGATCAAGGTAAGGGTTTGGACAGGAGGGGATTGTTTGGGATTTTCTGGATGGACTGGTTATCATCACAAAATTCCTTACAGGACAAGCTGGAGGAGGAGGAAATGTGATGTCAGAGACTGGAGTGATGTAATTTAAAGAGGGACGAAGAGGCTATGAGCCGAGAAACGCAGGAGGCCACTAGAAGTTGGAAAAGGCAAGTATTCGGGTTCTCTCTTTAGAGGAACTAGGGCTAGAAGGCAGTAGCCCTGCTGACATCTTGGTTTTGGCCAAGACTTTTCAGACATCTGCCCAGAACTACAGGAGAATAACTGTGTACAGTTTTAGGCCACTAAATTAGTAGTAATTTGTTACAGTAGCTAGTAGTCATGTATGGATGTGAGAGTTGGACCATAAAGAAGGCTGATGTTTCCAAACTGTGGTGTTGGAGAAGATTCTTGAGAGTCCCCTGGACTGCAAGGAGATCAAACCAGTCCATCCTAAAGGAAATCAACCCTGAGTATTCATTGGAAGGACTGATACTGAAGTTGAAGCTCCAATATTTTGGCCACCTGATACGAAGAGTTGACTCATTGGAAAAGACCCTGATGCTGGAAAAGATTGAGGGCAGGAGAAGGTTGTGACCCAGGATGAGATGGTTGGATGGCATCATCGACTCAAAGGACATGAATTTGAGCAAACTCCAGGAGATGGTAAAGGACAGGGAAGCCTGGCGTGCTGCGGTCCATGGATGGGGTCATAAAGAGCTGAACAGAACTGAACGACTGAACAACAACAAAGGAAAACGAAGACACTAGCTAATCTTTTTCTTGTTCATCTTTTTGTTGATTGTCTCTTCCCACCCCCAACCCATCTTAAGAACTTAAGACACCCTTAAGTGTCCCAAGGGCAGGCTGATTTTTGACTTGTTCATTGCAGGCTGCCCAGTCCCTGGCACATAGTTTTTGCTCAAGAAATGTTAGGAGGATGAATTTATAAGAAAGCCAAGATGTTCTTCATTTCATGAGGAACAGCTGCATGAGGGGTTTGCTTTCTTCAGTTTAAAAAAAAACAATAAAATAGACCACTGCAAAACAAATCATGGGTCTGAAGTCTAGAAAGGAATATACAGATTCTAGATTCAACAGCTATCAATAGGTAACAAAGCATTGGCGTGAACAGAATGTATTTTGTCTCCTTACTGAGTTGTCAGCATTCT